CTGTCATTTCCAGCGCTGCCTACTGACAGCACACTGCCTTGCACTGGGCCCGGCGTATTTTGCATGCATGACACTTACAAAATGGCTAATAAATAAAAATCAGCTTCAGGATCATCATGTAGGAGTGACGCTAGTTTGCATATTTTAAACCGAGTGCTAGGGACCGTGGAGGAATTCTAATGTGATTCAGTCTCACCCCAGGGGCTGCAGTGTGAATGATTCAATATATCATCCATATATTATAGAAACCAACTTTATAGATCAGTTCTGAGAAAAATAAATATCAGTGGAATGTCCGTACAGAAGACGAGGTAATGAATCCAAGAGGATTGCCGTGAATCTGAAAATTAGTATGGTAATAATAAAATATTGTTCTTTGGTAGCAGGCTTATGGCATTATAACTAAAGCTGCTCTGATACAATATTTAGTCTTGTTTAGAGAGACCCGCAATAGCCTAATCCCTTGTTCGCTTCTCATTTCAGCTGCTAAAATCTGCTTGGAATGAAACATTGTCTCCTTTTAAGCAAATCATCTACCCGAGACATTAAATGCCTTTGAGAAACAGCAGCGAGAAAATACAACTATGGAACACCAAGTTCATTTCCAGCTGGAACAGCTGGAAAACTGCATGAGGATAAAATGGGGAGAAACTCCTATAATTTTCAGGTTCCAGCAAACTTTACTAGCCTAGCTAAGATTCTGGAGTCTCAAAAATCCCTCCCTGCGTTGGGCATGTTCCCAGCATGATGTTAGAACATTGATGGTCCATTTGCTACCAGATGCTCTGGAGGTAATTTGATGACAGAGTTCCACTATTAGCATGTATGGTAGGTAATAGAACAGTACGCAGTCTAAAGTAACCCATCTGCACACCATAAATTGGGAAAGCAGTGCAGTCAAAGGTAGCGAGGCAGGTAATTACAGCAGAGGTATGTCACTGTGACAGTCTCCTTTGATGGGGAGCGCAGCTAAAGCATATGCACTCATGTTACTGTAGTGTCCTGCCTACTGTCCCTGCTCTGTAAGAATGTGTCATTTAATTCCTTTTTGTTTTTTGCATGGCCTTTGCTTGTGTGTCAGGAGTCGCATCGAGCCCCATCTCTCCCCTCCTCTCCCAGTTACTCATCCTTAAAAGCCTTGGTAACCCACCAGCGGACAGTAGGAGCTATCTTTAAGAGTGTGCTGCTTGTCACATTGGGGTATTGGATATTGACTTGGAGGAAGCATATTTGCCAGTTGTAGCTTTCGTTGACCATGTCTACACTGGGAAGTTTTGGTGACAAAAGTGCTGTTGACATGCAAAAGTCTCCAAAAATCAAACCATTTTTTCTGCCTCCCATTGTCGACATTTCATGGCCACATTGCTAGCACCTTGTGGACAGATAGAGCAAAGCAGTGTGGGTAAACATCCCACCGGGCAGTGTTGTGGGAAGGCAAAGCTATTCCCTGCGTTTCTCGGGATTCCTTGTAGCTCTGTGAGCTTTCCCTGCTGTGGAATGTCAAAGCAGCACAGCAATCTCTCCAGCCGTCCCCCTTCAACAGCAGTCTGCCTGCTGCTGTGTTCCTAGCAGGGCAGAACAGAAGCATTCCAATGGTTTGTTCTATGTTCCCCAAAGGGAGCAGCTCTCAGATACTTCCTGTAGCTTTGAAAGGGGAGGGGGGACATGCCTGCAGGGCAGCAGAGATCACAAAAGACTGAGCATAGCCATCAGGGTAGGCACTGTAGGATACAGGCAGATGCCAGCTCTTTCAACAGAACAAACAGCAGAGTCTACACTGGCTCTTTGTCAACAATAAAGGGAGGGGAAAGGACAGAAGTCTCTCAGAGGGCTGGAAGTTTTTTGTTGCCAAAACTGGCAAGGTCCCTGGGGGCAGACATAGTCTTTTATAGACCTAGCACAGACTCAGACTCAGTGGAGTCTTCATCCCTGATTTGAGCTTCTAGGCCAGGGGTGGCCAACCTGCAGCTCGCGAGCCGCATGCGGCTCTTCAAAGAAAAAATTGCAGCTCCCGCACCCACACCCACAGCTCGCGGCTCTGAAAGGGGCAGCATGTTTCTGTGTGCACGGGATGCTGGTGCAGACTTCAAAATGGCCGCCTTCAATATGGCCGCCCTTGCTCGACTAAAACTCCAATACAAACTAATTACAAACTCACCCTAAAACTGTTTCTTTCCCAGACAAGCCTTCCAAACCAGGACAGTCTCCTTTTCCCTGGGGTCTCTGGATCCCTTCCTTGGCTGTTCCAGCTGAAGCTCCTCCTTTTCATTGTTTTTAAAGTTTCCCTTTTTTCATGGGAAGTCACCTGACCCATCCCTACCAACCACTGCTTAGACCTATGGACCAATGGCTATTTGCATATGATTGCCCAGACACTGAGGCCTCCCTTGATGAATTTCATTCACACATTAAAACCCAGGATGTATTCCCTACTCCATGGCTACGTCTAGACTGGCATGATTTTCTGCAAATGCTTTTAACGGAAAAGTTTTCCGTTTTCCATTTGTGGAAAAGAGCGTCTAGATTGGCACGGACGCTTTTCCGCAAAAGCACTTTTTGCGGAAAAGCTTCCGTGCCAATCTGGACACGGTTTTGCGCAAGAAAGCCCCGATCGCTATTTTCGCCATCGGGGCTTTTTTGAGCATAACAATACCGCGTTGTCTACACTGGCCCTCTTGTGCAAAAGCATTTGCGCAAGAGGGCTTTTGCCCGAACGGGAGCAGCATAGTATTTCCGCAAGAACACTGACAATCTTACATGAGACCGACAGTGTTCTTGTGGAAATTCAAGCGGCCAGTGTAGACAGCCGGCAAGTTTTTCCGCAAACGCAGATGATTTTGCAGAAAAACTTGCCAGTCTAGATGCAGCCCATATGTCTAACTTTACACACAAGAACGATACGTGCACCAAAATAAGATAAGCAGATCCAGCGGATTAAGACATGAAGGTTGATTGGTTACATGAAGTAATTTGCTCAAAGCCCCTGGGAGCTATGTACATTGATGTCCCTACGCCTATTTCATAAAGCATGGGGCGGGGGAAGGTAAACCGTCACATGGCCTCTTACCCACCTGGATATTTCTTAGATGGTAAGAGCTGGTGAAGCTACCGGACATGCTATTGTTACGCCCATGCTCACAAGATCCCAGGAGTGTGAGGGGCTGAGCATCCTCCCACCAATTGTTCTGTGGGTGCCGAGGGCAAACCGGGACAACCGGAGCCTTTCACTGTAACCTTGCTTGAGTGGAGGTTTGGTTATCCGGGAGCACAGCTGTTAGTGTCAGCTCCTGCCAGGGGTCTCATTCATTTTGAAAAGAAAGGCAGTTCACTGTGTCTCTGGGCTGATCTTGCTAGACCCTCTGAAGGCTCTGTGGTGCTGCCGTAGCAGATGTGGCTGTTGAGAATTTTTCCCTGTCTGGTTACGCGGAGGAGGCAGAGCACCGCGAAGTGCCTGGAGCACTGGTTAGTGAATTACTGTTTGTGCTTGCAGAGGGCTCCCATGTTGTCACATCCAGGCGCTCTCCCAGCATCCTTATGGAGCCCCTCCAGCATGCATGGCCAACCTGATCTGCTAGGTCTGATGCTCCTGTTGCTCTAGAGGAAAGGAAAGCACAGTTCAATCTGTCTGCCTTGTGGGAGCTGCATATGCAGCCAACATGTTTTGGAATTAGAAGCCATGGGAGAAATGGAAAAGCCAGCCAGGAAGTGGTTTATTTCTAGAAAACTCGTAAGCTCAATTAAAACTTTCCAGAAGGAATAGGATGCTCTTGTGGTTAAAGCATGAACCGGGACTCAGAAGATGTAGGTTCAGTCTGGCTCTGCCACAGACTTCCTGTGTGGCCTTGGGCAAGTCACCTATCCAGTACTTAATTTGTAAAGAAAGAGGTATCAGGATCAAGTAATTAGATGCTGGGGCTTAAGCAATTCCTTTACTTTCATAGCTGACGCAGCAAGCCCAGAGGTGGCAGGGCTGGGAGCTGCCAAGCCAGAGGTGCTGCACACATTACGCTCTGCATCTGTCCTCTTTCCCCAGATCCCCGTCTCCAACATGAGAATTGTGCTTCCTTTCTTCCTCCTCAGCCTTGGCTGCTGAGGCTGTGCACTTTGTGGCAGGCATGTTCTGTTATTGTATGTTGATGTAGCGCCTGCGGCCTCAATCCAAGTGGATCCATGGCTAAAAGCAAGATCAAGGGAGGATTCCAGCTGTGATCCTGAGTGGTCAATGGGAGTTGAGAGTAGCAGGGATCTCCTCTCACAGTGTAGTTGCATACACTAGACCCTCCTGCATGGGTGCAGCCAGCAGCGTAGATGGTGAGATGCTGAGAATAGGGCATTGGCTTGAGGCGCACAGCGTAGTGGGTTCAAGTCCTGCCTCCCACCCCAGTGGCACCCAGACAGCCAACACAGGAAAAGTGATCCCCAGTGGTGGAGCAGCCCAGGGGACAGAGCACTTGCCTGGGGAGTGCAGGGTTGGGAGCTCAAGCTGCCTCCCCCCCCAATACCATGGGAGCAGCCAGACAGCTACCATGGGCTGTGTCAGGGAGGGAGCTGGCTTCTGCATTAGGAAAGCAGGATAAGGGGCTGCTGAAAGAAAGGAGGGAGGGGTGGACGCTCCAGTGGACTCAGGGAGAGGGCATCAGCCTCTGGAGCACAGAGTGGTGGGCTCCTTCCCTCCACCCACCTGGGCAGCCAACACCAGCTGCCCCAGGGATGGAGCTGGCTCCTGCATTTGGAAGGCAGGATAAGGGACCTGGGGGAGGTGGGGTGGGTTGGGTTCTTGAATGGCCTGGGGGTTAGGGCATGTGCCTGGGGAAGGGTGAGCTTGAGCCCCATCCACCCTGGGAGCGACCAGACAGCTGCCCTAGGGATGGAGCAGTGCTAAGGTAGGCCTGGCCCTGCCCCACTCCTGAAAGCAGCTGGCATGTGCTCCAATAGCTGCCCCTCATCTACAGGCACCGACCCCTTCTCCTGTGTGGTACAAGTGTGGGGGAGGAGGGACACCCTGACATCAGCACCCCCCCTTCTCCCTCCCACACCCTGCACAGTAAGCAGCAGGCTCCCAGGGGGGCAGCTTCAGGACAGAGGGTAGAAGCAGCACGAAGTGCCAGCACTCGACAGCTTCCCAGCCAAACCAGTCAGGATCCCCTGTCAGAGGCTCCGAGATCTACCGGCGGATGCCGATCGACTGGTTGGTGACCCCTGCTCTAAAGTAATCTCTTTGTAAGTCAATGGCAATTCTGTCTAAAATTCGAGGAGGGTGTTTGGCCTGTTGTGTGTGGAAATGGCTTGTGCAACTTGACACTCTGAAGAGATCTATTATTTCTGCTGCCTACACGCCCCAGACAAGCTATGGGCCCTGTTGCTCTCGGTACTGTGCAAAGACATAGTCCCCCAAACTGCACGTGTTTGACGAGGAGGAGACCGCAAGTAAGCGTTGTGCCCTCTGAACAGACGAGGAACTGAGCTGCAGAGCGAGGGAGGGTAAAATTTTCAAAAACACCTAAGTGCCTTGGTCAGTTCTGAATGAAAGACGTCGTTCCTCAGTGCTCTGGAAAATATTACCCTACATAACGTGCCCAGGGTCACACTGGAAGTGTGCGTTGCGGTACTGGGAATTGGCCAGACTGCAGAGTTCCAGCTGTCACCACAAAACCATCCACCTTTTTAAGCCTCATTCCACGCTTGCCTTTCCTCCCTAAGCTGCTAATAGGTTCACAGCTAATGCCTCCTCTCTTTCCTAAGCCTGGCTAATAGCAAGGGGCTGGCTTAATCACTTTGCCTCATCTACAGTAATGTAAACTCATTTAAATCAATGGTACTCAATTACAAAAGACAACCCTTAATACCAGAGCTTATTACACGCATCCCTATCCTCCCTCGGGGCATTGTACTTTCACTCATTTTGTGGTATATCTTGTTTGAGATTAACCTTACCAATAAGAAACTTCAGGCAAAGGACTTCGACACGCAGACTGCCGCACGACACTGCTGATGCTTGTGAGCTTGCTGAGGAATGTGAATTACCAACAGGCTTTGAACCAGAACTAGTGTGTGTGTGGTGAAAGAAGCAACAGTTCGCATATGAAGCAAAAGACAAATTACTTCAGAATCCAACACAGAAATGTTGAGTCCTGGGTACTGCAATCCAATCAGCAGCTCGATTCAATGTGTGGTTTTCTCACTGATGTGCACAGTTTGCAAAACAAGACTTCAACACAGATATTAGAACAGGGCTTGGAGCTCGAGTCAGCATTACACCATGGAAAGTCCAAAGTAGATTTGTGCTATTTCACAGCAACGTCCGAGATGTCTTACACCTCAAGATGCATTGAAGTTTAATCTGAACACAGACTCACAGGCCACTGCCCCATCTCTTCACTGCTCTTTGAACTCTTTTGACGCTTTCAGTGCCTTTGGAAGGAAGACAATTGCAACTTGAAATGTGACTGTTCATAGTGCTAAGCGGAAACACTCTGTACAATTCAAAATGGTTATAACTTTAAGTGCCAACGACTGGGCAGTGTACCCTATACCAGGAGGTGGGCAAAAGGGCCTCTGTGGTCCAGATCAAGCAAGTTGATCCGGCCCATGGGGGCCCTGACCCTCCCCTGCCAGGCCAATGAGCGCCTGGGGGTTGAGGGAAATGCACAGTCTCCTCCCACCCTGCCCCCGCCCTGCAAGGAGGGTGCTTAGACGCTCCACACATTCCTGGCAAGGCGGGAAGAGACTTTGCACGTTTCCCCTGCCCCCAAGCCCTGACTGGCCTGGGGGCGGGAGGGCCATGTGAAGTCTCTTCCTGCCCTGCGAGGGGCGTGGTGTTTTTAAGTGCCTTGCAGGACAGGGGCAGGGTGGGAGGAGACTTCATGTTCTCCCTGAGCCCCCAGGCCAATCAGGGCTTGAGGGTGAGGGTAGCGCGTGAGGTGTCCTCCCGCCCTGCAGAGGCGCTCAGCACCTAGAGTCAACCGCCAGCTGCTGCTCAGCGGGTGGCTGACTCTAAGCACGGTGCGTCCTTGCAGAGCGGCGCAGAGACAAAGAGACTTCACGTGCTCCCTCTCCCCAGGCCCTGAGTGCCCCGGGGGCAGCAGCGGGGAGCACGCAAAGTCTCCTCCCACTGCTAGGGGCCTAGAGGGAACCGCCGGCTGTTCAGAACAGCTGGGGGTTCTTCTGGGAGGGGCACAGACTTTGTGTGCTCCCCCACCACCAGACCGAGTGCGGGGTGGGGGGGGGGGGGGGGGGGGAGTGCAGAAGTGTCCTCGTCCTGCTCCTTCTGCCTGAAGCCCCGCCCCCTTCTGGGGTGGCCTGGGGCCACTTCAAAAATTTCTGAATTGGCCCCTGGTCAAAAATGTCCACCCCTCCGCCCCCGCCCTTTACAATATAATTGTGTTAGGATGAATAAAAAGTAGACAAAAATTCCAATAAAATAGTTATTTTTACATTGTTCTTTTCAAATGCCAAGTAAATAAAGGCAACATTTCATTCTAGACGGCTCATTTTCTCTCCATTGAATGTGGCTGTGGGGGGAGCAAGGTCATAGTTTTCCTAGGGTGCCAAAAACCCTGGGACGGGCACTGCACCCGCTGCTATCACCAGCGGAGACACATGGCTTGCAAATGACGAGTCTGGTTTGTTCGGAGTATAATCAAGGCCTTGGGGATCGGCCACAGAACTCAAGCAGGCTGTGGAAGGAATGTGAACGTGGGCTATTTCCACTGCGCCAGCTTTTCTTTAAAACCCGACTTTTGCCCTAACTGGTGCCAAAACTTCCTACTGCCTTCACTGGGAGCAGCCTCAGACTGTCAGTTACTAGCTCTGTACAGTCAGACACTCCATCTAGTTAGTGCTTAGGGCCCAGGCATTCCATCAATGGTTATTGCTTTTCCTAGATACCCCTGGCTCAAGCGCCAAGCCAATATACTTGCTTCAAATCTCCTCCAAGGCTTTTATAACAAGAAGCCAGATTTACTATTGCCTGCAAAGACCGAGGAAGGAGTTGTCTTTGTCTGATCGTTGCTATTTACCTGCCTTGAAGTTGCAGGGACGCGTCTGTCGGGGTTTTTGTGCTTGCTGTTTTATGGCTTGGCTGAAAAATGTTTGCTGTGAGCTCAGAATTTATTTAAAGCAGCCTTTAAGGCCCTACTGAAAAACAAACAAAAGCAACAAAACCTTTTGTTTTCCAAAATAAGGCAAATTGCGAGCAGTTCCGGCCTGTTCTTCGCAGCTGCTTATTACCTGTAAATCTCATTGGTTTTAATGGGTGTGTTGGTTCAGCTTCTGGTTTCGCTGTTTTCATTGTGCTGATGTTGGGTGAGAGCAAGAGCAGGCAAAATGCCATTTTGAAACATGAAAAATATGAAAATAGCGAATTTGGGGCTTGTCCCAATTAGCCTTCCTTAGAGGGGCTTTCTTGTTCACTCAATGGGCTAAGGATATGAAAGGAGTGTGAAGAATGCAGGGTCCAAGATGAACATACAGTTGTAACACCAAATAATAATACAGTGGGCAGGTTGAAATGGTCTAAACTGGGACTTTCTTCTCCGGCAACATCCATGGTCCAGCGCGGATGTTACAGGACCAGAAAGTCCTGGTGGCGGGCCATCAGCCGGACAGCTGGCTTGTGGCTGCCTAGCGGGGCTGGGAGCCACAGCCGTGGCCATGGCTACCCGGTGGGGCCCGGAGCCATGGGGCGCAGCTGCCCAGTGGGCCGGGAGTCCTGGTACACAGCTGCCCAGCAGGGTTGGCAGGACAGTGGAGCCAGCAGCAGGCGGGGAGCCGGCCAGGAGGCAGTGGACTGGACTAGGACTGGGGGGATCAGTGGCAGGGGGCCAGAAATGTCAGGTCCAGAGGGTGCCGGACCAGCTAGGTCCAACCTGTACTGTGCTTTAAGAGAGCCACCCTTGCAACTTCGCTCCTGACATCTTCCTTAGAATGACAAGAACACCCCTGAACAGGGATCTGCCTTGTGATCCGATTCATTTCTTTCTTTAGAGGTTCTGAGAGTCCATTGGGTGCAATCTGATGTCACCCCACGAATGCGTAGTCACACGATCGCCTGTCGTGGCTGATCTGTGGGAGGCAGATGCATTTGTATGTGGTTTTAAGATGTTTAATGTTTACCCAGCAGACTGGAACAGCTCCTTGGGAGCCGCCCCTGAGCTAAGCTGCATCTTGTTTCAAGTACCATAATCGCACAGTGCTGCACGTTTTGTTTGTCCTGTATACTCCTTACTTATTTAAACCCGGGTTTATGCAGGGGGACCTAAGGTGCCTGTAAACACAGGCAGTTCTTAATTTCTTGTACTTCCCTTTCTCATATTACGTACCTCTTCTATGTGTAACTCTTCTGCTGGGCAGTGCTGGCAGCCAGGTTCAGCACCTAAGGGATCTTTTTCAACCATACACATAAAACTGCCTAGAGCCCCAGGGGGGGGCTCGTGGGATAAGAGATGTTCCGAAGGTAGGGCTGTGAGGTGGGTTGTGGTGTAGGGGATTGGGCATTCACCTGGGAAGGGCAGGGTAGTGGGTTCAAGTCCCCTCCCTTTCGCCCCTCCCCCTCCCCCACAGAAGGGACAGGAAGATACCATCCAGGCTGCCCCAGTGGAAGGCAGGATAAGAGACAGGGCAGCAAGTGCACAACCCCAGCCCACAGTAACTCCAGAGTAGTAGCACCCAGAGTAACCCTCCTGTGGCAATTTAAAGGGCCTGGATTTCTGGGCACTGCCCCTGCCATGGCATCAGTGGCTGGGGGCCTCCAGACCCTGGGGCAATTGCCTCCTCTGTCCATCCCCCTATCATCAGGCCCATCTAGTGACCTGGGACAATTACGCTCCACTCTCAGGTGCCTCCAAGGGGGCAAACCTTCCTCTCTCACAAGCAGTCTGAATACAGCCAAAGGCTTTAATAAAAGGTGGGAAGTAATTCAGAATTAGTTTGAGGAAAACACCACTAGTGTTCCTAAGCCATGAGGAAAAGACCTACCCCCAAGTAAGATGGACCACATCCTTTTCCTTCAGGTTCTTAAGTCTAGACCCCAAAAGTGCCTGTAATCCGCCCATCCCTGCTTTGCACCCCACCCACAGTTGCTGTCCTTGGTCAGTGCAGCCCCAGAGTTCACACGTTCACTTGCAGTTCAACAATGCTTGAAATCAAATTTTTTTTTTAAACTTTTCAATTTGCTGAATATTTTGAAAATGTTGGAGTTTGGGGTTTTTTCCTGAATTGCCAGTGAATGGAAAAATCCATAATTCATGCACCTCTAGAGCCCGCTAGAGAATTTTCAAACACCCAACCGTATGGAAAGATAAATAAGGAGACAAAAGTTAGGGGAAGGGAAACAGCACTGGGGAATAGGCAATTTATATGCAAGTCATCTCAGTTCATTGTAAGCAAGGCAGCAGAAGTGGGTCTTTAAGACGAATTAATAATTTATCGCCCCTTTTTACCTCAATTCTTTGTTTCCATTAAGATTTGGCACCTTTGGGATTCACTGTTTGCAGCAGAACAGCTTGTTTCTTCGGAAATGTAGCTCGTGTTCAAGGTGCAGCTCCAATAAAAGCTGTCAAATGTGTACTTTGGCTCCCCTGAGATTTGGCAAAACAGTTTTTTTAAAGTCAGCATTTTTCCCTCTACTACACTCCTCAATCACATTAATGGTTCTGTCTCTTTCTGGAGCATCATGCTAAAAGACTGGCACTCCTTTCTGTGGTTTTTAACTGCTGGGGTCTCTCCTAAGACTGCTAATGAAGGTCAGAAATAAAGACTGCGGCCCTGACAATAAATTTAGTTTTTTGTTTGTTCCTTTTTTGGGCTGGTTCCCACAGTGCAAGTGCAAATTTGAGTATCAGGCTGACTGGAGCAGAGCCAGAAACTGCAGCACTGTTCACCTTATTAAAGCAGCACTAGCATTATATAAACTGTATAATTATGGGAAGATAGTGCTGTGTAGCAAACATAGCTGCATTGAAGGGAATGAATGAGGTAGGAGCAGCGAGAGACTTATGTATTCCACCAAACAAAGCTCTTCTTTCAAAACAGCTTGGATTTCTCAAGTGCGTAAGTCCAAACAGAACCATAAGAGAGGAAGAAAGACGATGTGTTAAGTCTGAAATATAATACTGGTCTGTTAGTTTCTAACCCCTCAGCATGGTTGGAGATAAAGACAGCACATTTTGCATGGAGGGGTAGGTTGGAGGTGTGTGGTGGGGGTGAGGTAAAGTAAAAATCAAATTGGCTGTGTCTACACTGGCATGAATTTCCGGAAATGCTTAAAACGGAATACTATTCCATTTTCAGTTTTTCCGGAAAAGGAGCGTCTACATTGGCAGGCTGCTTTTCCGGAAAAGCCCTTTTTCCGGAAAAGCGTCTGTGGCCAATGTAGACGCGCTTTTCCGGAAAAGAGCCCCGATCGCCATTTTTGTGATCAGAGTTTTTTTCCGGAAAAGACTACTGGGCTGTCTACACTGGCCCTTTTCCGGAACAGTGTTCCGGAATAAGGACTTATTCCTGAGCGGGAGCAGAATAGTTTTTCTGGAATAGCGGCTGATTTTGTACAGTAGAGCATCGTTGCTTTTCTGGAAATTCAAGGGCCAGTGTAGACAGCTCGCAGCTTATTCCGGAAAAGCGGCTGATTTTCCAGAATAAGTGGCCCAGTGTAGACACAGCCATGGTGTTTGTAGATCGCATGGGTGAGGACTTAACTAACGATTTCCTAGGCTCTTTTATTTGAGATGGTCACTGTTGAGTCTAAGTTGATCAGCTCCCGAAGGTCCAATCCTGTTGAAAGGACCTGTCCTTAATGTAAGGATGGCCATCAGGTTTGTAGTATGGGAGTAACGGTGTAAACGTCTGTGTCGAGTTTCTGAGCGTGCTGCGTATGCAGGAGACATTTCCAAACACTTGACTTGTGAGCCACATCCTTGTGCAGGTGACAGGTGTGCTCTGTCTTCCCTTGTCACCATCTGACAGCGTACGGACCCTTGCTCAAAACCTAATTGTGATTTGCGGTGCCTCCATTTTTGCATGTGTAACATGCAACTCCTTAAAGAGGACTGGTTTTAAACAATGGCTTGAGCATCTACCTTCGGGTATTGGGCATCCTGAAAGTGTCCCAGTGTAGGCCCCCCAAATCGCTGATGGCTTTTGAAAAATTTGGTCTTGAGGGTTGATCTACCAAAGAGCTGACAAAATCAGTCCTTGCCGATCGTCAAGCAGTAAATATTAGAAAATACTTATTTTAAAAGCTTAAGTTTCAATAATAATTGGAACACGTAACATTTCTTTTTATGCTTCTTTCCGTCTATCTGAGGTGCCTGTATAGCCCCTTTCATCCTACTGTCCAAGAAGCTCACAATTATAATTACCCATTGTGGATTTGGTTTGCAGTAAACTCATTTTGCAGTTATATAATTATTTAGAGGAAAATATTAGCGTATTGTCTTATAATGTAACATTACATACCTTCCCTGAATTCCTGTCTGGATGGTACCTTGTTCTTTCTCTTCCTCCTCCCCGTAAAGGTCTTTTGTTCATGTCTTCAGACATTTCTTCTTTTTCTTTTCTTCTTCTCCCCACCTAAGATTAAAGAGAGAATGCAGAGAAGATCCAGAATCTTTTGAACAATACTTGTAAGGCTCTGAGCACTTCAAAGGCATTGTTTGATGTTTGATTTAAAAGATGCCATGCAGATTTTGTTTAAGCATGTTTTCAAGGCAATGTTGTAGGACGTTACAAGATTGTGGCACTATAGCTAGATCCCTTTGGTTAAACTACATTCAGTCTTCTTAGATTCTGCATATCCGACTGGGACTGGACTTAATGATCACTTTGCTTTTTTTCCTCCTACTAACCCCAAAACAGTAAGGGCTCGTCTACACTGGCCCCTTTTCCAAAAGGAGCATGCTAATTTGACAGGTCGTAATAGGGAAATCCGCGGGGGATTTAAATATCCCCCGCGGCATTTAAATAAAAATGTCCGCCGCTTTTTTCCGGCTTTTAGAAAAGCCGGAAAAGAGCATCTACACTGGCCCCGATCCTCCGGAAAAAGCGGCGGACATTTTTATTTAAATGCCGTGGGGGATATTTAAATCCCCCGCGGATTTCCCTATTACGACCTGTCAAATTAGCATGCCCCTTTCGGAAAAGGGGTCAGTGTAGACGTAGCCTAAAGGTATGGAGAAAGAAACCACTGGCACAAAATTATTCTTAATTATGACTCTCAGAATAGGAAGCATCTTGCATTCACCGTAACAATGAAGTTTGTTTCCAGAGCTCAGATACCAGCACGGAGTTACTGGAACAGCACAGTGAGTTGGTGAAGGAGTCTGGGTAGCACAATTCAAATGAGCACATGAAGCAACCCCATTCGTTGCAGTCTCTGTGGAGGTCCCCTAATGAAGGCTGAGTCGCAGTAGTCTAGCCTGATGGTTACTTCTCATTGAAAAGGGAGTGGTGTGATCTCCACATGGTCAACTCTAGTTAGTCCTTCCCTGGTGTTATATGTGAACCAAGGCACTAGAGGTGCAAGACTCCATTTCCTAATAGGTGTGGGCCTTCGAACCATCCCATGCACGTCTGCAAGGTAAACTTTCTGCCCCACCTGTCCATGTGCCACTCTTTATACCACACCTGGTAAAAAGATGCCAGTGACCGAGCACCGGGACAGTTCTGTTTATTTCAACATCAGCGATTTACTGTAGTGCTTCCTGCTTTGGAGATAATTACAGCTCTGACACTGTGTTTGTGTTTTAGTGGTGACTGGTTTGCAAAGGGTATATTGGCAGCTGACAAGAAGCTAGTGATTTTGCATATGTGGTGCTGTGAGTATACTTCCTTCTGTGGCCAGACACCTTTAATAGAGAAGAAAAGTCTTTGATAGGGTCAGAAGCTTTTGTGAAAGCCTCGAGGACTTCTGTGCAACTCGTTTTTCTGCATGAAGCATTTACAAAGTGCTCCTGACAATACATTAGTCTTGCCACAGTTTAAGTGTGCCTGTATTTTAATATAAAATAGAAACTAGAATGAAATATAGCCGCATGTTTATTTTTCTATTTTCTTATATAATGGTCCATTAAGTCAATATTTTCATTATCATAAAAGAAATAACCTGAAGTGACATGCATGCAAATAGAGCTATTTATATATTTATATTGCTGCTTATGGTCTCCACTTTCTATAAATAAAAGAACTGCAGGGTAGGCCACTTTCTCGCTCTCTGAAGAATTCCTTAATGAGGCTCTAAATTTTAATTGAAGTAGAAGAGATTATTTCTGTAGGGGGGCAGGCAATAATGGATTACTTGTCATGGTGAATGTACATCAATTTTTCTTCCTTTGTGTAAAAACATTTATCCTGACATTTCATTAAATGTAAATTGTGCTTTGTTAAATTTAAAATGAAGCTTTTCAACTTTCATGATGGAGATCAAAAGATCATGTACTCGCAGGGTTGGAAATTTGATTTGATAAGCGTTCACATCCTTTGCCTTATTTTTAAAAAACATTTGTCGTTTCTGTGCATTTTTACCAGGTAACATGAGAATGCTTTGCCCGTCTTTTATACCTCCTACCTGCTATCGTTAATGAGCTATGCTTCCCAACCCTGCTGTGCAGTAAGTGATATTATTATTGCTGTTCATATTCTAGTAGTGCTTAGAGGGCCCAGCTGAGATCAAGGCCTCATTGTGTTAAGCTCTGGACACATACAGGAAAAAGACAGCCTCAGCCCCAAAGAGAAGTTAGTCTTGCATAGAGAACAAAAAGAAAAAAAGGTGGTTGATAGGAAGTGTTGCATTTTACAGTTGGGGAAGATGAGGCCAGAGATATCAACAGCCTCGCTGGGTTCCTGGGGGACCTGCCCTGTGCCCCAGAAGGGGCGGAGCCTCGGACAGAAGGGGCAGAGCCTTGGACAGAAGGGGCGGGGCTGGGGCTAGGCAGCCCGCAGTGCTGCCCAGAGTGCACCGCATGGTGGTCTGCTGCTGTCTCAGTAGTGGTGGGGCTGCTGTCTCAGTAGTGGTGGCAGCGGCTGGGTGCTCCAGGCCCTTTTGTATCTCTGGGCCCTGGGGCAACCGCTCCCTTTGCACCCTCCCGCCTCACTCATCAGTGGGCCTAGCTGAGGCACAGGATTTAGGGCGGTGGTTCTCAAACTTTTGACCCCCTTTCTTACAGTAAGCTGCTGACTGCAACGCCCCTTGTCAATTCAGAGCCCTTCTTTGCACATGTAGCACCATTACAGATGCTGAAAGCAAAGCGGGTTTGGGGTGGAAGCTGACAGCTCGGGACCTTCCCCATATAATAATTTTGCAACCCACTGAGGTGTTCTCCCGCCTCCCACTATGAGAACCCGGCTTTAGGGGACCGTAACCAGGGGTTCTGAGCAGCGCCCATTCATTTCTACTTGCGAATTTGACCCTAAGGGTACATCCCCCACACTGCTTCTGGGAGCATGCAGCTATCTCTTCTCCAGCGAATGTATTCAAAAGAGCGGTGCCGTCGGACTTATGGGGCCCTACACCACTATTAAAGTGATGCCCCTATGCAGAGACACATGAGTGCCCAGGCATCAGCTTTTTCAAGATAGGCCCAACAAAGAAAACAACAGAACAGTCCCCTACTTAAACCCCTCCAGCGCATCATTAACAATCTGCAACCTACCCTGGAAAATGACCCCTCACTCTCACAGGCCTTGGGGACAGGCAAATCCTCTAGTACAGACAACCCCTACCCCTGCAACCAACCCTGGTGCCAACTCTGTCCACACCTCTATACAAGCGACATCATCACAGGACCTAACCTCATAAGCCACCACATTAGAGGCTCATCCACCTGCACATCCACTAATGTGATCTAGGCCATCAAGTGCCAGCCATGCCCCTCTGCCATGGATACTGGCCAAACTGGACGGTCTCTACGACAAAGGATTAATGGACATAAATCAGATATTCGAAATGGTAACACACAGAAACCTGTTGGGGAACATTTCAACTTGCCCAGGCCCTCCTTAATGGATCTCAAAGTGACAATATTATGAAAAGCAATTTCAAAAACCTGCCGGAGAGAGAAGCTGCAGAACTTTCATTTACAAGTTTGACACCTGGAATCGAGGTCTAAACAAAGACCTGAAGTGGATGAGCTGCTACATTCCACACCCTAAGGACATCAAAAGCTAAGCACCAGGTACTGAGAGCCCACTCACTTAGCCTCATTTAGCACGGGCACTCTAGCTGACAATATTTTTCCCCCCATTTTTTTCCTTTTCTTTCCCTCTCCATCCACTCTCGTTCTCTGCTATTTATTTGTACCCTGGACTCCTTAACTCCAGTCATCTGAAGAAGTGCCCACGAAAGCTTAGGATCCCATCTACATTTGTTAGTCTCTAAGGGTATGTCTACACTACCCCCCTATATTGAACTAGGGGGGGTAATGTAGTCATACAGAGTTGCAAATGAAGCCCGGGATTTGAATTTCCCGGGCTTCATTTGCATAAAGCCGGCTGGCGCCATTTTTAAATGCTGGCTAGTTCGGACCCCATGCCGTGCAGCTACACGCGGCACGGACTAGCTAGTTCGGATTAGGCTTCCTAATCTGAACTAGCCTCGTGGAACGAGGCGTACAGCTAGTTCGGATTAGGAAGCCTAATCCGAACTAGCTAGTCCATGCCGCGTGTAACCGTGCGGCATGGGGTCCGAACTAGCCGGCTTTTAAAAATGGCGCCGGCCGGCTTTATGCAAATGAAGCCCGGGAAATTAAAATCCCGGGCTTCATTTGCAACTCCGTATGACTACATTACCCCCCCTAGTTCGAACTAGGGGGGTAGTGTAGACATACCCTAAGGTGCTGCAGGGCTATTCGCTGTTTTTTAAAAATTTGACAGTAAATTCAGAAGCTGCCAGGGGTTGGCAAATGCCTGTTGAAAGGATTCATTGCCAACTGAATGGCTCTCTTCCAGGTTCTGGCAGGTTGTGTCACTCTTATGTTAACTAGCCCCTCTCCAGAGGAAGCAGAGCCGCAGAACAGGGGTAGAGAGAGGCAGGTAAAAGAACATTAAGACTCAGTGGTGCCCCAAAGTTTCAGGTGCCCCCTGTACCTGCATATTCTGAGTATGGGCAAGGATGGTTCTGGGGCAAGGGCTATCTGCCTGAGTATACGCTCACCTGCCATCTGGGGTCCATGCTGCGATGCGTAGCCCATGCTGCCTTCACACTGCTGTTTTTAGCACACAGCTAACAGGTGTCTGTCTACCTTTGCTGGGAGAGACACGCCCTGCTGCAGAGTAGACAGACCCTGAGTGTGCCTCCCAGTGCAGGTAGACAGATAGAAAGTCTGCGATAGAACCCAGGGTAGATCACACAGGTCCTGCCTTCTAGCCCTGTGCTTTTACTAGAAGGCTCGTTTTGTTTTATGATAGTGGAAATTCAATCTCGTGGCTCAGCAATGCCCTCTGCTCACCTTCAGGAGTCAGGAAGGAATTTCTCATTCGGTGGCTAAAAGGGTCAGGGACACTCTGTAGAATCAGCGTTTTTCTGAACCATCCTGCTGGAGGCTGACTATCAGAGGAGAAGGGATTAAGTGGTCCCTTCTAGGTCAGTAAGTCCAATGCTCCTGTTAAAGAGAAGTCTGAGACACAACATCTGAGGCGGCAAAGGGCTGACGGGCTTTTTGCAGTGGCCCATCTAGAATTCCTAGAGACCTGGTTTTGCCATGTGCTAAGCACTCTTAATGCCCTCAAGTGCCTGCAGAGATATGAGGTCCTCCCCCTTGCAATATTGAACCCTATATTGGAAGTATCAAGCCCCTTCCTTCTATTCTCAGATTCTGTAT